CGGAGTCCGGGCGCTGCCTTCGTCGCTTCCCCCACTCTCCCCCACTCACCAAGTCCTGCGTGACGAAGTTGCGCGCACACAATTTTGGGTAACTTCCAGTGTACTTCTAAATATGCTTGACCTGAATTTCCGATTTCTGAATGTTAATATTTTACTTTATTGATTTCATTAATTATTTCAATGTTACGAACACTTAATTTATTAATATTTCAATTTGAATGTAATTTATTTTCAATATTCTACATTTTCAATTCAAAATTTATCTACTCCGTATATTCTGCCAGATTTTGATTTAGCCTCAGTTTTATATTTTGAATAAATTTTTAAAGTAAATCAAGATCCAATAATATTTAGTAAAAATTGAGGTGCTACACGGGTGTCAAGTTGGCACTTTCTTAAAAATGTCTTAAAAATATTTCAACAGTAAGCTTTTTCAATAATTCTTGAAAAGTTCTATATTTACCGGTCTCGTTCTAAGAGTTGCTTTGGGAACCAGCGGTGAGTAACGGAGAACCTCTGCCCGCCAAGCTACACGTTCGTGTTCACGTTTAGCTCGGCTACGACGGGATTCGCATTGTCGACGTAGGCGATCATCACAAAATCCTACTTCCAGACTCGCCGCTACGGTTTAGCGCCATGATTGGTATCGCTTACGTCTTACGTTATTTTCTGTGTGAATGGCTCAACTAGTATAACCAAATGTCGTTACCTATTCTGTACAGTAGGATCGAGGAGATTATGGATAAATTATATGATAGCCTAATAGTCGTTTATTTTTTCACGTTATTTTTATTAATGAATCCGTAGCACGATCATACCATTCCAGAAATCCGTAAGTATCGTTTATAGTTAAAAAAGTACAAATATTTACAAAATACCGCTTAAAATAAATGTGGGGAGGGCATCAGTGCTGCTCCTTGGGTCACGGGGTGTGTATGGGGGTTGATGATCATGATCTTGATTTTATTACCTTGTTAGTTTCCTCTATTCAGGCGAACACAGGACACGAGCATTGTCAAAGTGAATTATATTTTCAGCTCTATGTCTCCCATGTCGCTCTTGACTAGACAGAGACAATTGAGGAACGATAATGCACGACTGATGGCTATGTTCACTCATTTGTCACAAATGTAATATCAATGCAAGCAAAAAAACGAAAAATGATTTTTCGAAGACCAAGGAAAACGAAAAAAAAATAAAAACCAAGAGCACAAAACGAACGTGTGGTGCGTATCGATTAGCAATTTTTATGATTTCACGTCTCGCAAATTATTAATGTCACAATATACTGTTTGCGATTGGCAGTGTTCGTATTCTTACGTTATCGTTACTCCTAATAATTATATATACTTCGATATTTCTATCTATATTCCGTATTGTATAGTGTACTATGATTCTGGTGAGCCATGTCATTATTCAGTAAGTACTTCGATAAATACAGTTTAATACTTATGAATACGACGTATGGAATAGGTTCATATAGCAGCTCTTACGTATAACAAGCAGCTTTAGTCTGAATCGATCGCATAAACGACTTATCCATAGAAATTAAACGCACGTTGTAAAATCCGTTTAATAAAAAATTGTAAGAAAAAAAAGAAAAAAAAAAAGAAACAGTACAAAAATTTTATCGCAACAATGCGAACCTCCAACCTGTCTTTCGTTTATCAATACTTCCTTACATTTTGTACCTTGGAATAATCTGGCTTTGTGCTCGGATCCTAGTCCTGTCTTAGATCTGTCCACGTTACGAGTCACGTATCTCTTTCCGTCGCACGTAAAAACGTCATAATTCTAACACACGCTCCTCGACGTATGCACTTAAAAAAACCGCATCTGGACCGCCATAAAATTGCATACAGTGCAGAAGCACAGGAATCTACAGTAAAAATTTTCAAAGTGTCCCGTCGCCTACAGTTGTTTAATAATAGAAAAAAGTGAGGAAAAAAAAACTGAATGTGGATGAAGCCTCGTGTCACTTTGAAAATTTTCTGTCGGCCAACAAGCACTTAGAAGCGCCTTGGGCTGCGATATAAGCCGTTATATACACTTAGTAGCCTCTAGTAAGGCCATGCGATTAATTATCGTTTCGTAATTAGGCGAGTCCCTCAATGAGAATGGACATATACGAATATTTTCACTTCCCGTTTACCTAGTGGAAAATAATATTAAATAACGTCGGACACATTTCTATATTCGTTGTATAACCTCGTTTAAGGGCGCGTCAACGCTGTTCAATTTTATAGCGATTAAACATATTACATGTAACAATCACCGATCCACGAGCACGTGTTTCCTGCTAATATTTAATTTAACAATATCAGCTGTCAGTGCAATAACGTGATACTAATTTTCGTTAAATAATTTAGATTATTAAATCAGTCGTTTATCTCGCATCTGGAGTCCCTCAGACGTTACTCTAGCGCAGGCTCGTTTACCTCAATTTTTCGTTCTTTGATCAAATATTCAAATGCCACAAAATCGGACAACCATGACGCTGATCGAGTACCTTATTCACTACGGACTCGCATGTAAAAATATGTCCTATTAATTTTTCCACATTTGACACGCAATTTTCTATTTAACCTTTGTTCTCGTACACACACCCAATAAGGAAAAGCTGGCTTTCCTTTTTTGTATCTTATCGTTAGAATAATCACGAATTTGTCCCACATTAGAATACCTTATATAAACCTGCTGGAAGCACGGGACTTCTCGTGTACAATTATTCTCGAGATGAATTTTTTAATAACAATTACAAGGGTGGCGATGCTTTTTTTCCTCAGGTACGAAAATTCCGGCCGAAGAAAGTAAAATCAAAAATCAAGGCAAACAGGTCAGAAGAGACGGACGAATCTCCGCGAACAACGCGAATACTACCTTAAAGGGTGCTACCATGACAATCCTTATCGGTATTTACAAAGCTGCTTTTTATCAGCGAAAGCGAAACGTTATAGCGAAAAATGTCTAATTGTAACTTTGAATCGTCACTCATAGAGCTCACGTTAATCAAACAGACGGAGATTAAGCTTTTCTCTGATACTTGATATGGCTGTGATACTTTCTTAATTAGCATTGTAACACACTGATAGTGCTAAGAGGTCACGATCACTTTTCTATTAATGAAAAATCATGTGAAACCCTTAGACGCGATTTCAAATGTTTCCGTTCGTTACACTCGATTACGTATCGTTTATGTTTTTTCTTCAATTGTTTGTCTTCCTGGTTAGCCTTCATCCTGCGGTATCATGTTCACGTGTACGCGGCAGATTACTTTCTCGTTAATACTTTCTTACTCTCTTACTTTCTCTCTCTCTCTCTCTCTCTCTCTCTCTCTATTTCTTTTCTCATAGAATCATCATTCACCGCATTCCATACCTCTAATAATTTTATATCACTTAATTAACTCGACAGTCACGCATATCTTGACTGGAGCCAAGAGTCTTAATCGTCATTCTCTATATCGGAAATAAATATTATCATATCCTTAAAGTTCTAACGGACGCGACAAAATACTATTAACGCGACATATTATAAAAGAGGCTACAGGATCTTGTTTTTAAATAATTATCCAAATGATTTAATGAGCTCGCGTTTTGTACCGTCGTTGAATTTTCGCGAGAAATCAGCAATGGAGCCTCGGGCAATAGTCGCGCGCCATCAGTACTCGAATGGAGAATGTCATGGATAGAAATCCTATAGAGAGCTGTCCACGACGATTTCACCTATTTTCGAGACCACCTCGTCGAAGGTGGGTCTCTCCCTGGGATCCTTGGCCCAGCAGGAAACTTGAAGTTCCTGGAGTGCAGGCGGTGCGGCCTTGTGCGCTTTCCAAACGAGGCTCTGGGTCTTCAACTGAGCTAGTACAGAATCGTCGTTGAGTTTATTGAACGGTAGTTCGCCCTGGTAGAAGATCTCCCATACCAAACAGGAGAACGAGTACACGTCGCTCTTGGTGGAATATTCGTCCTCGTAGACGGCCTCGTACGGTAGCCATCGTAGGGGTATGACCTGATTGCGATGCTTCGTATACTCCTGCTGATAAGGTTCCTTTGTCATGCACGGTAGCGATACCTTAATGGTAAGATTGCTGGCTATCAGACAATTTCTGGCAGCTATGTCCTTATGAACCATCCTGTTGTCAGCCAAGTGCTTTAGTCCCTTGGCAGTCTGATTGGACAGCGAGAGAATTTGAGCTACTGATAGCTGGGGCGCTCTTTGCTTTGATCCGTGAGTCGGACTGGAGTTACCATCCTTCCTAGAGGCGATGAGGAATTGCTTTAGATCACCCCAATCGGTATACTCCAAGATCATGTAATTAGGTTCCTCGTCTCTGCAAAGGCCTATGAGCTTTGCGACGTTCTCATGATCTAGCTTATGAAATAGATCCAGATGTCGCTTAAATTCCTGAAGAGTATTCTCGTCTTTTGTGTTCGTCAGGCTCTTGACCATCACCACGGCCTCCTTCTCACCTTCGACCTGATACTTCGAGGAGTACACGTCTCCAAATTCTCCACGACCAAGAGGTTTCAGTTCCTTAAGATTGGCACGCGATACCGCTATCTTGTCGTAATTTGACTTTGACTTCTTGGACTGATTGCTGCTCTGACTCTGAGCTGTATCCGCACCGTCGCTTTTATGCGAGTCTCTGTTTTCTTTCTTCCTGCTAGAGTTTGACTTCTGGCTGGTCTCCTTGAGCTCAGTTTGCTCCTCCTGGACCTCACCGTTCTCGAGCTTCTCTTCGGCTTGTTCCTGCAGGTACTGCTGCTTCCTTCGACGACGACGGTATCTACAGTACAACATCAGACCCACCACGAGGACTTTATATGCTGCCGCAGCGCTCAGAGTAATGATAACGGTCTTGGTCATCATAGAACCGTCATCCCCGTTCTCCAAGTCTTGACCTGATCTGTATCCGTCACCGAGTTTAACATTCAGCTGTACCTCTTCTCTCTTGAGACCTCCGCTATTACCAGCCGTACAGCCGTATTTTCCTTCGTCGCCAAGATACACTTCCTTTATATAGAGACTGCCATTCGGCAGAACCTCGAATCTCGGGCTATTCAAATTATTCATCCGGGAGTCCTTATCCCACTGAATCGTCGGCTTGGGGTCGCCCTCGGCAGCACAGTGTAACATTACAGGATATCCTTCTATAGATTCCGTGGGATCTTCAGGTTTAATCGTGAATTTAGGCGCAACTGTAACAAAGGAACAAAAGAAATTCTCTATAATTTATCATCCAAGAATATAATTGCACGCGCCGACAGTAAAATTGATGTACGCTCTATTGTTCCAACTATTATCTACTTACTGACTACATCGATACTGATCGTATGATTGATAGTTCCTTGGGAATTGGAAGCAATGCAAGTGTAACGACCCTTGTCCTCCTCGAGTACCCCGTTGAAATGAAGCGTCCCATTGATGTCCTGAACATGTTTTGGAAACTCTTCCCCACTACCCTCCTTGATCCACTTGACCATAGGATGCGTAGAACCCTGAGCCTTGCAAGAGACTCTCACAGTGGATCCAAGCTCAAGCTTCTTGTTGACAGGCGGTGGTGAGAATTTAAGTTTCTCCTTGACAGTCAGAATAGCAGGATCGGAAAGTATCGGTGGAAATCCTTTAGTCTCTATCTCGCACATGTAGGAGCCTTTATCGGCAAGATCGGCACTCTTGAAATGCAACGTTACATTTCCATGAAGATCGTTTATGCGGTGTCTGGTGGGACCGCCGGTTTCCTTCAGCGGTTCCCCGTCCTTTAACCACCTGACGTGCGTTACAGGCGCATCCATTCCGGAATACGAGCAAGTCATTGACACAAGCTCACCTTCCATAATGGCCATGGATTCCGGCGAAGACAACAGACTCGGAGCAGCTGAAAATAAAATAAAGTACCATAAAGCCAAACCGATCAAAAACCATAAAGCACGAATTTTCATTAGTCAAAGTACACTGTCAATATTATTATTAATCTGCTTACTCGATATTATAACCTGTACACCCATCTCAGTTTCCCCGGCTAAATTTTCAGCAATACACGTGTAATTTCCATCGTCCTCGCCGATCCTAGCGTTGGCTATTATCAGAGTGTTATCCTGAACTCTGACCGGACCCGAATCGCTTATTATGTGTCCGGCAGGATCCCTCCAGTATACCTTAGGTGCAGGAAGTCCCGAGGGTTCTAAACAGCTCACCTGAAGTTCCTGATCCTCACCGACAATGGCTATCTGATTCGACAGAGCCGGTTCGAAGGAAGCCACGCTCAGGTTCCGTAAATCTGACCGAGAACAAAAATTCAAATTAAATTCATATCCCAGCGTCTCTGCCAAATCCGTCAATGCCAAGTCATCCCGTACGTCTGTACGTACAAGCAATTTGCAGTTCAGCCGAATAAATCTGCACAGTATCGCCGCGCAATCCGTGACAAGAGTAGAATCCCTGGTCCCTGTGTTCGGCAGCCTGAAGGACCAGGGTCCCATTGTCGAAGATGATCCTCTCTTCGTCGGATTCCAGGGGTCCTATGTCCTTGAAGAACCACTGGACAGCATCGGCGTCCTCGTATTCGCAGTGAAAGATGGCTGGCTCGCCGCGTTTCGCGATAACGTTTTGAGGAATGACCTTGATAAGGGCAGTCTCGTTACCGGATATAATCAGCGGAAAACTCTCGGCAATCGACGAAGATCCTGCCTCGTTTCTCGCTAGGCAACTGTAGACCCCATTGTCTTCCGGAGTCGCCCTGTGAATGTACAGCTTCTTTTTCTTCACCTCGACCCTGTCGCTCTTGGTGACGCTCTCCTTGTTCCTGAAGATCAAAAATTAAATCATCAAGTACACGCCAAAATTCCTTCTGCTAATCGCAGTAAAGTGCCTGACCGAAGAATAGAAAAATAATTCACGTGCATGGTGAAGCCACGAAAAAAAAAAAAAAATTGACAGTTCCAAATATTCCGAAAACACGTCACCGGTACGTCCTACTTCCGGTCTACGTGTAAAATCACTTTCGAGTCGTCCGGGCAGCTTCATGAATTTTTCAGAGTCTCAAGGATGAAGCGTAAGGTAAATTCGAAGAAATAATTCAAGGCCTTCGCTGCATAATTCAGAACAGATGATTTGACCTACTAAAAGCTCAGCTTCTAGGGTACTATGACCACAGTGACGTAATTGAATACGGTGCGTCACTTATGACTGTTATTAATACACGGCTGTTCGTATCGAAGATTAAAAGAAACAGCCAACGATAAGACTCACTTGAACCACTCGTAACGCATTTCGCCAGAGCCGTCAACGTGACAGCGAAGTTCGACCTCGGCGCCCGATCGGACGTGCGACGGACTTTTTGGCAATTGCAGCTGTACCCTGGCCTCGCTGATCCCTGAAACAAAATATATATACAACGTGAGAGCGAGGGTGGGACGATCAGGTAACGCATAAAATTGTTTAGTCAAGTCTGAAAGGACGAGCTTAGAGCCTGAGGATTTAGAGGATTTAGATCCGAAAATATTCGATCATGGATCTCCTTTGTCCGGAGGAACCGATCGCAGCCAGTTTTCAGGTTAGCCGGTCGGTCGCAGCTCCTCGTCTCCGAGTGTCTTGTTAAATAATTCCGGAGGCAGTCTTCGCCGGAACGGCGACTGACAGGAGAAAAAAGGAAAGCACCGAGTAGATACCAGGCTAAAGCGAATAGAGTGGATGGTGGAAAAAAAAGGATGCGAACAAGAAAGAGGCAGAGGTAGACAATGACGGCGAACAATGGCAGCGGAGGAATTGAATCGGGAACGCAGGAAAGAAAGGAAGAGACGTTGAAGTTACCCGAGGAGAAGTAAATCGATTTGGCCTTGGCTTTACCAGGGTCAAACGCGGCTATAACCCGCGTCCTGTGGACTCGGCCGAAATCTTCACCAGGAGCGACTGATGGAAAATCGAAAAGTACCGTCTATTTTAGGCTACCGGAAGTAAAAGTGCAAAACGGAAGTCCGGATTGACATCGGGCAATAAAGTAAGTGGTCAAAGTTTTAATTAAGCGCTTTCACCCTCCCCGAACTCGTAGGAGGAGGGGGGCGGGTGGCTAGATAGGGGTAGGTAGGAAGCGGAAAGAGACGGTGCGAACCTTCTTCAAAGGACGGGGGGTATAGCCGTAGATGGGCGACTGTCGAGAGAGGAAAAAAAAGACACGGAGGAACAGGGAGAAGGATAAAGATTCCAAAGTTAAAGGACATCCGAAGCCATTAAAAACCATTAATCTGAAGAAGTTATCCGGTACGTTAAATGATATCGAAGGGATCGGTAACCGGCGTGGTGGGACGACAATACCGTGAATAAAGAGTGACAAAGCCTAAGTCGGGGGTGGGCCCCCCGGGTGCTCGTAATCGGGGAACTCACTTTGCGTCTGAGGTCTGAAGGCCTCCACGAGGATTTTGCCCGGCCACTCGAGCCGCTTTTCTCTACCGGCTCTACTCGGAAAGCCGTGTTTAAACGCACAAACGAAGCGAGAGATCAAAGGGACCGCCGGCCGCGCATAGAGAGAGCAACGTTTGTTATTATCATCCCCCGTGAGATTAACTTTCGTGTAAACACCCCACCAGGACCGGGTGCCTGCGCACCATGTCACCCCATGGAAACTAACTTTTTAAATCTTTTTTACTCTTCCTCTCCTATCTCTCTCTTTCTTCCAGCTCTGCTACCTTTCATCGCACACGTAGGTATGCACACGCAGGAATACCGACTGCAGCGGCGGATCCGATATTCATTGAAGCGACGAGAGGATACGCTTCGAGTAATCCACATATCAGTAACAGTAGATACACTGTAGTGGCATAAGTGACGTAATCCAATTTGCAAATTTTTAGGTGGCTGATAAGAATAAAATAAATATACAGCGGCGTGGCGATGTGTGTGAAGTTAGCCTATCAGCTTCCAGCGGATCGCAAATAAATCAGTTCCTTTCGCATGCAACCGAGTTCTACGTAGAGCTCTAAATCTCGTCAAAATCTCTAAAATACGATGATCTTTGAAAAAAATGTTTTGCTACGGGAATTTAGTTAATTTTTTTAATCGTGTTTTTTTTTGGGTAAAATCGCGAAAAATATTACTAGAATGTCTCATTTATTTGTGATCTGCTGAAAGTTGATCCGACAACTTCATACGCATGGCGTAGCGCAGGTCCTGAAGGGACGAGAACGGGTTCTAAAACGGAAACCAAAAGCCGGTAGCGATGTAAACTCAGAGACGAGGTCTGCCAAGGCGGGCTAGTTATGCTAGACAAACAGAGAAAGAGAAGAAGAGAGGAGAGGGAAAGAGAGGAGAAAAAAGGAGAAGGGGCAAGAACTTGAAAGAGGACCGATGAAATGAAACGCGACGACGGGGTGGTCCGCCGGGTAGAGGACGGGGCCTTTACCATCACGACAGATACGACGGCCACGAGGGCCCGTCTATGAGGCTACTAGTAGGAGACCCCGCGAGAGGCTACGACGACTCCGGCCTAGACTATTTATCCTAGGCGAGCAAACAAACCGTGGTTTTCTCTCGAAAACGGCCCGCGGCTTTGACTGCCTGAATTATTAGTGGGTTATATACTGCAGTACCCCGATTATTCCTTTCTCATTGTGTTTCTCGCGATTCACGAGCAACTGCAACCATACTAAACAATTCCCCGAAACAATACTCCCGAGCCCAACCACTCGAGTAATAATAGGGAATATGCCAGTTCGTCCGTACCTTCCATGACAATGACTATATGCGATATTCCTGATTATCTGGTATACAGTGGGTCTATATAGAACAGATGAATTTCGATATTCCACCCTAAATCACTTGTAATTAGAGAGCCGACGATTCTCGTTACGAAATGATGTTCGCGTGGCGTCGACTGATACCGAGAATCTAGGGGAATCGAGGTGGCAGACGACGCAACCCAAATACGTATGCATAATGTCGGAAGGATTTCAATTGGAGGGAAGGGCGACACGGAGATGTCTCCGAAACGTGGGTTATGCAAATGTTTTGTTTTGTTTCTCTTCCTTGCCTCCTCGCACCCAGCCCAGGAAAAATAGAAATTTGATGCGAGCGATGCTCGTGGAATTAAACGGGACAGGGCGCGGGGAACGCGTGTGCGCGGATATAAGGATTGCGTTAACGACAGAAGAGCCAATGGGACGTCGGGTTCCAGGGGAAAAGAGAGATGCAGGGTGCCGTACGGGGGTCGCATCGTTGCCATGGGAATGGAAGTAAGGGGAGGTGGAGCTCGGTCGATGCAAACGCACCATAAAGTTTTATGGGCTCTCCAGACTGTACCTATCCGCCCCTGTCTGCCTGCCAGTCCTGACTGCCTACGTTCCCTGCCTTGCCTGCCTGCCTGCCTGCCTATCTTACTGGTAAACTCACTCACTCGCTAGCTCCTTTCCGTAAACGTAAAACTCGCAGGATTCCCGAAAGACGTAACGCAGGAGTCAACAACCCGAAAATTTCCACGGAACTCGTAGTCCCCCCCCCCAAAAGACAATCAGTGACAAAAGTTTTCGAGCATATATTTCACAACTTTGTCACGTTGAGTCGCAAAAAAAAATATATGTTTGATAAATGAAAAAAAAAATTGCAAATATACGACCACAGCCTATGCAACAATTTTTTTCTCTCTTTTCATGTGAAACTTGTCGCGTCATTGATACATCCGGTTTGGCATGGGTAAAGGTTGATCACGTAGCTATTGAGAGGGTCTTCGGGGGAGGGGGGGGAGGATCTTAAGGGCTTGGAGGGTTCTGAGTTTAATAAGGGTAGCCTATATCGTGGTAGTTCCTCTTCCTTTTCTCTTTTCTTTTTCCCTCTTTAG